GCTGGCCAGAAACGAAAGTCGTTGTGATCTATGTTGGGATCAATGCATATCATAGGATGAAGTGGCTTGAGGGAACTTGTTTCTAGGCGAAATTGTCTCTATTAATCGTTACGATTGATTCACGCCCTATCGATAGTATCATATCAGACAAGGGTTGGGTGCACACGTCGCGGAGGCATTGTTCGTCTTTAGGGTTGTTGGTGCATGGTAGAAAGAGACCGTATTGGAGACTACCAGATTATTCATATTCATATTTTAATAACTTATAAAATTATTCACCTTAAGTTTGGCATACGCTTATCTATCTTGGCAGCCAACCTCAGAGAACTCTCGCCCTTATAATGAAAGTGTGATATTTCGGTTATAACGTTGTTCAATTGATCTGGTAAGTGAGTATCACAATAAGAAATGACTGAGCTTGACTTCATACATATCCAGTAAAACAAAAGCTGACAGGTCGGGAAGGCATATTGCCTGCTCTGTAGGAGGCGAGGACTGGGTTCGAATCCCGTTCGAGGAAGGGAGACGATCTATCAAGTCCAAACTTTTAATCAGAGTGCAGTGAGCAGATCGGACTTAAAAGTCTCCCCAAAGCAGGGTTACTGGTTGTAGTGGGATTTCGGATGAGGCCTCACTGCCTTGGTGCATTCAAAGATGAGACTTAGGCGATTTGATCCTACAAATGGCGTGTAGAGGTGAAGGAGGAGATGATATCACCCCTCACAAATAGGCACACAAGAGTCGGGTCAATTCAGCCTCCTGCTAGGTTGTTTTGTGAACATGTGCGAAGCTTCCTGATAGGCATCAGAAATCCTTGAATAATGTATTGAGACTCGACTTTTAATCTCCAAGTAATAGATGCTTGAAAGGGATTCGTATATGGGCTGCATCACAATCCGAAAGAGGATGGTGTGGCATACGCACAACAGGCTTATAATCACACACCTAAACAATTGCCAACACGGTAGGCCCAAACAATAGATTATTTATTTTTCGTTTATAATCGGATTTTCGTGACTGCCAGCACATCACATATATGAAACGTGTTCATCGTATTTCGTTTAAAGAGATGAAGGATTGATAGTTGCATTTTACCACGATGATATGAGTAGGCCTCACGTTTCGCCTGAATTTGACCCAGCCTTGCATCTAAAAAGGTATTCATATCCAAACTTGTTTGGACTGCAGCTTTGATCTCGCCAAGGTCTCACAAGCCCCCAAGCAGGACTCGAACCGGTATTTCTTCAAATATCATATACTTTGGTGGGACTGTCGCAGAAGCAATGCTGTATTTGCTATAACAATGGATTACATGACTTATTTTTCTTTTACGAGTAGGTTTCTCATACATCTGATATGCTGGTCTTCTCGAAAATCCACTTATAAATGAAAAATAAGTAACCTAGTCGATTGCTATAGCAAATATAACTGTGCTTCATTGAGAATCTCACCACAGAATGTGATCTGGGAAAATACCTGGACCTTCTTTAAATTCACACCCCTCCGTTTGACCCAAGGTCTCTCATGACAGTATGGCGTAATGGGTAAGGTGTTGAGATTATACAACGTACTATCATGGTTTAAGTCCCGCTCGGGTGCTGAGATGACCAGTTACGACGAGGCCGAAGTTGCAGTTCACTTCAACTTGGATGAGAACACATTTTTTGAAGCAGGGCTATGTGAAATTCAATGAAAATGTTGGACCTACTCATTCGATAGTGGGAAAATTCATCCACCACCCAAAATGAAATAGGGTGAACATATATCAAATAATAGTTTATTTAATTAAAGATATGAAGACTAACATGTTGTGGCTTCTTTATTGGTTACAGTTTCCTTAAGATGTATTGAGGTGGTTTACCTCGTTTTCGCAAGTCGGTCGTGTTGTCAGAGCGACCTAGCTGAAAACATTTTGCCCGGATTCTTTTAACCGAGTAGTCTTTATACTATTCATTGTCGAACCATGGAGTTGATACCTACCCAGCGCTTCACCAGCATTGTAGTCACCACAGTCAGTAAGTCTTGCCATTCTAGAGGCAAAACCGCAACTCGTCAAAGAGGCGGGTGAAATGGATTGGGAAAGAAGAAGAGGTATATGAGCTGTGTTCACCCTACTTCGTCTGCGATGAAGATCTGGCATTTGAAGTTTCCCACAATGAGATGAGCAGACATGACGTATAGATGGCTCATAGATCTAATTTACAGGTAGTCTCGAAAACCTACTTAAATACGAAAAATATGTAATTTCTTCGATTGCTATAGCAAATATAAGTTTGCTTCATCGACAATCTAATCACATAATGTGATGTGGGAAAATGCTTGGCTTTTCTTGAAATTCACATCTGCCCTTTGACCCAAAAGTACTCGTTGCAATGTGGTGCGGTGCTTAAAGTGTCGTTATGTCAATATTCGAGTTGCTCTGGAGGTGTTGATAAAATCTAGGAGAGGTTGAAATTGCAGTCCGTCCTGGATGAGAATACCTTTTGAGAAGCAAGACTATGCGAAATTAAAGAGAAACATAAGGTCTACTCATATCATGGTGGGAAAATTCAAAAGCGAGCCCTTCATCACCTTAAACAAAATAGAGTGAACACATCTCATATATATGATTTACTGATAGTGTAGATAATTTATTCTAAACGAGAAAAGAGAGATACCACAACTGGTCAGGGGATGGATTTCCTTTGTCTATTTGAGGAGTTGCAGCTTGGTGCTAAAACTGACCAGGTCCACCCACACTGTACCAAGTTCATGGTTGACGTTCAAAGTTATCATCACTATGATGTCAGAGGACTTCGGGCAAGTGGTGTTCAGCTAGGTAGACCTGACAACTCGATCAAATAGTGAAAACGAAAACGTCAAGGATGAAAATGTTTGGATAATCGGATTTAGGATTTAGGAAATGTTTAGATCCAGTCAATCGACTGAACTGGCGAGCAAGAAAAACTCATTTTATCTCAACATATGCTGAGGCCGGTGGTTGAATGCAGGGAAGACAAAATAGGGTTGGCCCTCAAAGCACGAAGTCGAAAATACATCACATCTCTCACAGCCAAGAGAGAGAGAGAGTGAGAGAAGTGACCACAGATTGCAATCAGGGTTCATTCGGATCGCGAACAATGCTTGGACGATGAGAGCAGTAGGAAGTCCGACACAGAGTTAAAAGCAGGACAATTTGCAGGTGCCATCGAGGCTGGATTTATCGGTCGCCAAATGCCAAAACCCGGAGACTCGGCGACATCACTTCGTGCATTTTAGCCGAAACAAGCAATTTTGCATTCTTGTGTTGTTAAGGCCGGTACCCGACGTGAATATTTTGCCAATGGTTTCGGCTAACTTTCACTTCCCCCCCATCCGTGTCGTCTCTCCACCGAGGCCCTCTTGGCAGCAGATTATCTCTCTACCCGACAACAGCCAAAAGTGACGTGTTGTCGGCCCTTGTGTACAGCTACCCGGCCGTAAAGTTAACCATATCCATCTATACACTAACTCCCTCCATTCGTCTGTCTATCCATCCTTCACATTAGCTGCCATCGTATAGACTCTTTAGATGACCCAGTTGTGGATGCATTCGTCTATCTATCCATTTGGTATGTCCGAACTCCATCCAACTGGCAATGCGTATGTCCATTCACTTTCCCGAATCCACACGTATATTCATATACTATTCGGCCGCCATTTTGACAGTCACATTCTATCTTGTTGCCAGCTCATGAGGATACCGTTAATTAAGCCAAATTCACTTTGATAATTGCCAGCACCTGCACTTTAGTTGGCGGGAATTGGAGTCGCAGATTTCTCGTTTTACAGGCGGGCAGATGAATCTGGGGTGCAGAGAGCATCCGGGTCGTATCTGGCTTCGCGTTGGAAACGGTCCCCCCGAGGCAACCCTGCCCCCTCTGTCAGTGTGTCAGAGGAGGACTTGCATAATGCATGCTAAGAAGCTGTTGAGTTCACGTGAAGAGATAATGATTGAGATGGCTTGAGCTAGCAGTAAGAGAGAAAAAGAAGAGAGAGAGCTTGAAGCTGTATGACCAAATAGTGGAAGCCAAATTGAAGTATAATTGTAACACGTGATCCGAAGCGCATGAGACAAATGATTTTTGGCCTTATTTCACATCTCTTCAGTTCTCTCTTTCATGCGACCCCTTCAAATGGTTCGTGATTTCCTGCACTGAATCCACCCCAGCCCAATCACATGCAGACACTTACAGATCCAGGCACAGGCTCAACTTCACCCGACCGCCTTCTCTCGACTCGATTCGTATCGTCAATTCGGACAGAAAATGGCCAAAACCCCCGAGATTGCCAGACGCTTTGGAGTGAACGAACACGAAATCGTCCAATCAGCGAAGCCCTCCCACTGTATAAAGTGCACTAACCATCTGGACATTGCACTCGATTGTGTTCGACCGACTGGACTCAACTCCTCCACGAAGAGGTAAGCCTCTTCGTCTCTAAACCCTCGCAAAAGGCTCACTCAGACATCAGCTGTGTTCATGTCTTCGAAAATTCCAGCAGGCTATCTGCGCTCGAAGTCCTGCGCACGGTTGGTATCGAAGGGTCTTGGACGTCTTATTCTGTTTAATCAACTCTCTCACTTCCTCGCTTCCTCCTTTTGAAGGAGAGACTGGCGGCTATGATGCAGCATTTTTAGAATCATGTCGAAAAGGTACGTTGTCGACAGCTCGTCTCCCTTCACTCCAGTAAAATTACTCTCTTCATGCCCTGAGACGTTGATACTGACACACGGTTTCTGCCCTATCAAGTC